GGGGGGGGAACTCTCTCCCCCTCTCTCCCTCTCTCTCCCCCTCTCTGTCACTCACTCTGGCCCTCCTGAAAAATGAAATGCCTATCTTTGGGTTGCCTGCTCAGGCTCTGCCCCCTACAAGGTAGCGCAACCCCAGCAGAGCCCTGGCTGAGGAGAAAGACAGCAAAAAGTAGGGTTTCCTGTCTTCCATCTCCCCAAACTTCACACCAACATTTCCCTCTCCTGCCATTATTACTGTGACTGCTGCCGTGAGCTTGCCATGCTGCTGCTGTCTTCTACATAAGTTGGTGGTGGCTACTTATTTGTGAGTAATCAAGGTAAACCTTACACACCATTAAATAGGGTAAACCTCTACTCACAAGTAGTGACCTAAATACCTGTCTGGACCCTTCTAATGAGAGAATAAATGTGTCCAGTGTGAACAGAAGGATCACTCAAGTGTGAGACAAGATAGATCTCACTGAAGATAAGAACTTTTGAAGTGCGAACCAGACTGCTCCAAATTCCCCTGTCTGGACAGGCTCTCAGACCTTTGATGAATTGCATCCCTCTCTATTCTTCTCCCTGTCTTAAAAAAAAAAAGCACTCTTTCCTCCTTTAAAAAAAAAGACCAGTAAACAAGATACATTGTCGGTATGATGTCTACCATGCTAGACAGATGCATTGCTGTTTCGCTATGTCACTTACTGTATACAGGTGTAAAACAAAACAAAAAGAAAGAAAAGAAAAAAGAAAAGTTGTTGTGGCCCATTGAATGATGGCCACGGAGAAAGGGTTGGGAAGGGGAGCATCAGTAATCAAAAGATGGATACATTGAAATAATCCAAAGACCTGTCCAGACTCTTCTCATGGGAGAAGAAATGTTGATCAGTATAAATGGAAGGATTGCTCAAGTGAGAGATAAAATCACACTAAAGATAATAAACTGTTAAGCGAGAACTGGACTACTCTAACCGGCCATCTGGATGTGTCCTAAGACTTTGCTGCTAGTGATGGTAGCATAAAATATTAAAGATCCCTTCTTCTACACCATGGTCTTTGCCAGGGCCCTTCTCCTTCCATTGATAATGTGTAAAAATAAGAAGAAAATTAATTACAGAAGAGCAAACCAGGCCACAAATGTCACGTCTAATTTGCTCTAGTATGTCAGCTTTCTTGCTACCCCTCACCACTTGTTTCTCTTTGATCTCTTCACTTCAGGGAAGTTTATTCTAATATCAAAGTCAGAGATGCAGTTTTAAGCATGCTAATGATTACCTGGGCATCTTTCTTAGTTCAGTGAATGTGTATTACTACCATCCATGTGTTATGTTTTTCCTATGTTAAGAGTTACTGCAAAAACATAGGGAGATGCCAAATTGTGGCCCACCTAGCCCAGTGGTTCCCCACCCTGGGTCACCCAGTGTCCTTGGACGTAAACTCCCAGAAACCTTCACCACTAGTTGTTGGCCAGAATTTCTGGGACTGGTGGTCCAAGAGCATCTGGGGACCCAAGGCTGGAAACCGCTGATCGAGTCCATTTTTGCTTAGTCTCACTGGTAGTAGCTCCTTTGAAGATGTTTTTGATGTCACTGTGACCTGGAATTTAGTGGAGATGGAGGATGTGTTAAATCTGTTGCAGCAAAGTTATTACGGCATCTTGAAGAATAATATGTTTTATTTGGCATGAACTTTCATAGAGTGAAACTGATATGCAGGGACTGAACTCTAGACCTTCTAGAGAGAAAGCTTAATCTGTACGACTGAGCTGTGTAACATGACCGGTGCCTACCTTCCTGCTCCATTGCCATTTTATTTATCATTCTCTTTCACCTTTGGTGACTGATCAATCTTTGAAATTTTTTTTCTCAGGTAAATTTTGTTTGTATCTGTCCTGATATATGCATTACTTTTGTTCATAGAAACAAAGTTTCTTCGCCTACCTAATGAAACTAACAAGGATAGGAAGTCTTTATCAAATCCATTTGCTCTCTTCCCATCTTCAAAGCAGCTTAATTTTATGCAGGAGTCCTAAGCCTGAATCCTTTGCTGTAGAGCCATTGAATCAGTGAGAGTTACACAAGTGTTGATTAAGCAGTTCATTCAGTGGGTCTGTTGTGATTTGGATTAGCACAATTTACATATAGTACTTGTACTATATGAATATTTACCTTCTTCCATCCTAATCAGTTTCTCTAAAGCCCGAAATGGGTGTTAGTTGCTGGAAGTGGCTGTGCATCAGTTTTTCATTATCATGGATAGAAAGGATATGTTGGATGAGCGAGCTAATAGCGACCAAAGAAACTAGCAGTTAAAATACTCCAAATAAGTGTTAGCACATATACTTATGAAGATACCAAACTATTGATCCTAAAATTTCCTAAATATGTACCACTTTTTGAAAGGAATAATGATGGATAGAGGATTTATAAAGTACTTCAGGCGGGACACATGTCTTCATAAGAGAGAAATGAGATGAAAATAACAAGTGGTATGGTAATTTTCCCACCTTTATTACAATTAAAAAAAAAACTAATTGTGTACAGTTTATGTTTTGACACAGAGGTTTCCAGCCTTGGGTAACCCAGGGTGTTCTTGAACTGCAGTTCCCAGAAGCCTTCACCAGTAGCTGTACTGGTTGGGGTTTTTGGGAGCTGCAGTCCAAGAACACCAGGGCTACCCAAGGTTGAGAAGCACTGTTTTACCAGAATCCAGTTGCTAGTATGTTAATTGACAAAAGTGTGACTCAAGAGCCTAATGTGTACAGACTCATCAGAAGATGACATAAAGGCTGAAATCTTGTTGCTTAGCATATCAAATTGCACTGGGGTAGGCTCATTAAATCAGTGATGATTCAGTGAATCAGCTGCTCTGTAAGTTCCATTGATTCAAATAGGCTTGCTCTTGCTGCAACTTACAGTGCTAAGGAACAGGATTTCATCCAAAGTGTTGGTATGTGTTCACTATCAGTACTGGCTTCAGGAATGAATTCTTAATTCATTCAAATGTTAAAACAGCTACGCTAGCTTTGCTGCATTATTGGTATGACCCAGAAATTGGTGAATGTGATATGGAATAGGGAGGTCTCAGGCTTAGATTTAGAGTTAAAATGTATACATCACTTCTTTGACTATTTGGTAAAACACATTGTTTACATGCAGAAGGTTCCAAATTCAAGCCCAGACAACTTCATGTAAAAGGATCAGGTAACAAATGATGGGAAAGGCCTCTTTTTTGCCTGACATTCTGGAGAGCTGCTACCATTCAGAGTAGAAGTCAACAGATAGTCTGAGCTGATTTAAACTGAATTTCCCTGTCTCCTGAGGCTGTTTTCCAACTTTCTGTTTTAAGTGAATTGTGAAGGCTTTGCTGTATTCCCTATAATCTTGCCTTGTAGGTATTTGGGGTTCCCAACAGAAGGAAACATGTTTTTTGGGGGGAGTAAGGATTGATATGTTCATCTTCCTGATGTCTGACTAGTCTTCCTCTGTTGATAAGCATGTTTCCTATCTTCCTTTGTTGTCCTCTTTTGCAAAGCTTTCCTCAACCACCCTATCCTCAGCTGCCATATAAATCCATAGCATTGGATTCTTCCTTATCATGGTCTCTCACCTTCATTGAGAGGTAATGGAAGGAAGTAGTTATGTAGCAGGAGAACTGTTCTGGGGGCACCACAGTGTGTCCTTGTACCTCTTGGGGTCTTTCAAAATGGAGTCTGGACTGCCCAGTTTTAGTGGCAAGGGGCAGGTGTTTGTCTCTGTCACAGCAGTTCATCTAAGGGGTAGTGTTTTTCTAGTAAGGGAAATGTTGAATCAAGGGGTCCTGTTGGGATGAGGGATGAGCGTGGGGAACAGCTGGAGTTCTGTGGTGGAGCACATGCTTTGTATGCAAAATATTCCTGGTTCCGTTTCCGGCATCTCCAGATAGGTCTAGGGAAATGTCCCTGTAGAAATGCTGACAATCAATCAGTGTACGCAGTACTGAGCTCAGTGAACTAACAGCCTGATTCAAGATCAGGCAGGTTCCTGTGTTCTTAAAGATACCTTATTCCTTTCTTGAAAGTACTGTAGTGGGAAAGGGGTTTTCCCCTCCAACAATAGTCTTACCAGATGTGATAGATTTCCTTTGTCTTGTAAAAGTTAGTGGATACCATTAATGGAGTCTTTTCGTACCTGTGCATCTTTCCCTCTTCCTCTGTGGGCCATCGTCCGAGTGCGATGAGGTACCAAGTGCATCTTTCCCTCTTCCTCTGTGGGCCAATGCCATGAACTGCATTGATCGTCCGAGTGCGATGAGGTACCAGACCTTGTTCCCTTGACTTAGCTCATATTTTTCTCTTTGATCCATCCTTTGCCTTGTTTTCTCCTGCTCAGACATTTTTCTGTCCTGTTCTGTAGTTGCTTTTCTATTGCCTACTTCCAAGCAACTGGGAAGGGGAGGTTGTGTAGTTCTAATGTTCTAAAGACTTCTTCTTCCTCAATTGTGTATTTTGAAGGTGTTTCCCAACTCCTATCTCTTGCAATAGACAAGGAGTGGGGAGTGTGTGATCTTCCAGATGTTGAACCAACTCCATCAGCCCTAGCCAGCCTAGCCAGTGAGGAGATATTACTATGGTTGAAGTTCAACAATATCTTGAGGGCCACTGTTTTCCCACATAAAGCAAAGCAAAGCGTGCTGCTTATATACCGCCCTATAGCGCTTCAAGCACTCTCTGGGTGATTTACAAGTTAATTATGCAGGATACACATTGCCCCTCCCCCCCAGCGAGCTGGGTACTCATTTTACCGACCTCGGAAGGATAGAAGGCTGAGTCATCCTTGAGCCGGCTACCTGGGATTGAACCCCAGGCCGTAAGCACAGTTTTGGCTGCAGTACATCAGTTTAACCACTGTGCCATGAGTCTCCTCTCTGGATGATATTGGATAGTGATATAAAGAAACAGATTTTTGGAAACTGATTGTTTCATGTATAGCTAGATAATGCTAATGTTGTGTTATGTGTTTTTTCTTTCTCCAATACAGGATTGTGTGCATCAGGAAGATAAGCAGAGGAAAGACACATTTCCCCAAAGTTGAAAATCTGCCTGGACCGCAGACATGGGGCCATCTCCCAGGAGCAGTGACAGTGCAACCCACATTTTCTAAAGGGGAACTTGACTTTCTCTCAAGCCAGTCCCCCTCACCCTTGTGCCCTGAGCCATGGCAGGAAACAAAGAGAGGGGCTGCTCTGGTGGAACTCCCCTGGCCCATGTGAATGGTTTTCCTACAGCTGTATATCCCTTTCCTTTCCCCAATCCGCACTTCGAGATGCTCACAAATGGAGGTTATTTCCGGACCTATCCTACCGACCTGCCCAAGGAAATGGCATCACTATGTGAGTTTGTAGAAGGATAAGGATGGGTCCGGGGAGGAGTGGTGCATGGCTTGGGTTTGGTGGCAGAAGGGCCAGATGCCAGGCTAATCAGGGAAGCCATGCTAATCTAAAGTTCTTTTCAGCACTGAGAAGTTGATTTGTTTAAGTGCTGTACAGATGTGGTAAAAGTTGATGAAATGTGGCAGGTAGGAGCATAGAATGGCCTGGTGCAGTCTTATTTAGTCTGGGTTCCTCCAGCTATTTTGCATTATAGTTCCCACTAGCCTGAGCCGAAGAGGCTAGTGGTCAGGAATGATGGGAATGTAGTCCGAGATACCTGGAGGGCGCCAGTTTGCTATGATGACTAAAGAAGATCTTAACTTCAGCCATGTAGACGTGTTGTTCAGAATGAGTTCTCTCCTGACTCCTCAAATGGCTCTCCTATGCTTTGAAAATGCTAGCAAACCTTTAAAAGACGGGGATCCATTGTCTGAATGTTCACAAATGGCACTGAGTTCGTATGGAGATGCTGGTAATAGGAATGGCCCTGGCATTCAGTAAACAAATGTTCTGGATCTGAACTGGGTCCCAGTCTCCTCTCCTTCATTAGATCACAGATATTTCAGTCCATTGTCAAGAACTTGCCCACAAAATAGATGCAACAAAACCATTGTAAGGATGAATGAGATGATGCCTCCAAATTACTTTGCGCCTACGGTGTTAAACAATAGATTCATGGAAACTGGCAAAAAAGATTATGTGCAGATCAACTCTTGCTTCAGGCTGTTTCTCTCATTTAGGCTTTCATTTAATGCCAACCTTATGATTGATGCTTTAGAAATCATGTAGTTTCTGTTCAAAAGATCTTTGTTCTAATGAAAAGTTTGCAGAGATACGGAAAAATCACAGTGAACTGAGTTTTTCCACGAGGCAAAATGACCCTGTTGGTGATCAGTCATAAGTTACGATGGCTGCTCATATCATCTTGGAAAATCTTCATTCTATGAGTTGAGCAAGATGGTTGAGAGTCCATGGTCTGAACATGTTCACTGAGCTATTGACTAGTGCTTTGAACTCTATTTGGAAGCTGAGAGACACCTACTGCAGTTCATAAAGTGCAGAATCTCTGTGTTCTGGGCTGCCCACCCTGATAAAAGGAAGACTGTCATATTTTACTGGCTGCAGCTTAAGGATAGTCCCACACACAGCACATTGTAGTTGATAGTCCTAGAGTTTTACTGAACTAGGGGATACTGAACCAGGATTTAGATATGGTGGGCTTTGCAGGATCAAGTGTACAAGATTATTGCCTGAAGCATGTCTGCAGTTACATAGAACAAGGTGGTGGCATTAAAAATGGCAAGACCTCTCCATAATCTTCCAGAAACCATCATAAGGGACAGAATGTATGTCAATGCCTGGGTATATACTTTGCATCAAAAATACCCCTGATTCTCACCATCTCCAGGTAGGGCTAGGAAGGAAATTCTCCTGAAACTTGGAGAGATGCTGCCAGTTAACTGTAATGGTCTTGCTTTAGATGGACCCTTGGTCGTACAGTAATCTGAGTACAGTTTAAAGCTGCTTTCTGTAATCCTACATACCTAGTAAAAATGGTAGGGGCTACAATATATTTGTATCTCTTGATATATTCTGATGTCCTGTGCAACTGCCTGAAAAAGCCACCTGTAGCAGATACCACCTGTGCCCAAAGATGGGTTAGCTGCAATCTGAAACTCCTATCCTGGCCACACTGGGCACCCAGAGTTGAACTGGCGTCTCGGTCAGTGAACACTGTGTGAAGAGAAAGATAGCTCAAGCCTGAATTGCTATCAGATTTGCCTTTTAGAGACTGAAGGCAATGATCCCTGAACCTTGAGCACAAAGCAGGTCATGCCAGTACATTTTTATGGGGGGGGGAGCAATCACATGGCAGCTTTGTCTAGAACAGACCATTCGATTATGTGCAGATTGAGAGGAGAAGCATTCATAGCATTGCTATTTCTCATGACACTGGGGAAAAAAAAGAATGATTTCTCATGTGTGTGCACGTGTGCATATGTGCGCTTCTGCAGGATAACATTTCACCACGTGGGTGCCTTTGGGGAGAGGTTCACTGAGTAGAATGAGTTGCCCTGCTCCAGGGGCTCTTGTCTGAGAACCAGGCTTTTTAGGAAGCTCTTCTTTAAAGGGACCCTTTTGCGGCTGGAGGGAAGACAGGATCTTAGCCTTTTATGCCATCTGGAGTCCCTCTTTTGAACTGGACTGTTCTGTTGGTACCGAGGGGACTGAGGGTAATTTCTCATAAGGGAGGCACCCTAAGTAGCCCATGTACATTGTATGTGCACACATTATATCTTCAGCTCATGATGGCCCTTTTGAACTGGAGTGTGGGGGACGTTGTGGTGAGAGCTTGTTGTGTGTCAGTCTGGCTGGCTCGTCCCGTGAACTGTTCCCTGTTCTCTACACTTTGGGGCATGTTCTGACCGCTCTACCCTTTCCCACCCTGGGATGTGCCCAGGCTCCGTGCCAGACCTGCAGGCTCTGCTTGGCTCGGCTCCTCCTGCCTGCCAGTGCAGAGGCTGGAGCCTTGCATGCTTTCTCAGGTGCAGGTTCCAGCATGCCAGAGCAGCGTCCCCACGCTGAAGGGCTGTCAGTCATTCATGCCTCCAGTGCACTCCCTATCTCTCTCATGCTTCAGGGCTTGTGTGTGTGTGTGTGCATGTGTATCACCCTCCATATGCCTGGGTCTTTCCCTGAATAGGGCTACCTAGGAGCAAGGAGAAGCATTTGCAGCTGAGGAAAGCATATCCCCTTCCCTTTCTGGACTCAACAGTTGCTCTGGGCCTTTCTGCTTTGGTATTCTGATTTGAAGCTTGTATCCCTCCCTCTCACCTTCTTTTACCAAGAAGACTCCTATCTTTGCTGATGTCTCATAAACTATTTGTGTGTGTGTGTGTAGGTGTGTGTATATGCACATGCCTTTCTCAATAGTCCACCAGGGGGCAACCTCAGAGTTGACATGAGGAGTCAGATTCAGGTTTATACCCTGTCTAAAAAGGAATGTCTAATCTCCTTCTTAAGTTATCTTTTATCTAGTGCTTCACACATGAGGTGTAAATCACCTTTGTTTTCAAACTTTCTCCTTGCCTGCAAGTAAAACTTTGACTAAATGCAAGGCACCAGTTTAATTCCCCTCCTCCCGTTTTCCCCCTTAACGAATAACAGTGTGCGACAACACCAGCCACCAAAGTGGGATTCCTATGTGCTGTTTTTGCAGCCTGCCTTTCTAAAATCCATTGTTTGCAAATCTGATGAAAAAATAATAAAAATATGTGGGTTGGGTCCAGATTTAGACAAGTGCAACTGGCCTGGGCAGAAGCAAATTCTCCTTCATATTCCTTCCTGTGTCACTCCCTGCAGAGTTTTGAGAGTTCTAAACAAAATTTGAGGGACCCTGCTGAATAGGGGTGAGTTGTGTTTGTGGGAAAGTGCTTCCTCAAAAACTAAGTGGAGGCAGATTTTTTTGAGCGTATCAGCAGAAGGCAGATCCTAGAGTCAGCCTAATTTGTTTCAGAATCAGGCAATCTAAAACCCTCAACAAATTGAACCTCAGTAGAGCTCCTTCAGAGCTCAAGAATACTTTCTGAAAAGGCCTTTATTTTATATTCTTCCTAACGAGGTCCAGAAATTGATCCAGCCCTGTCTTTCAAGTTGCAGTGTGAACAGTGTGAAAGCCCTGAACCTTAGGCCTTTTGGCTTCATGTCTGAAAGAGGTGGTACATGCTAGCAGGGCTTCCCTTGACAATTTAAGAAAGTAGGAAGGAATTAGGAGGGGAAGAAATGTTTCTGTATGTATGCAAGATGCAGACCATCAGTGCTTCAAGTATATTAACCAAGATCTTGAATTGAGCCTAAGAAATGAGAAGCCAACACAGACCTTTCATTGTGTCTCATGTGATTTGTGTACGTAACCTCAGAGATTAATTGAGCTGTACTGTTCGGTACAAGCTGAAGATTCTGGTCTTTTATCAAGAAAAGTTCCAGCTATAGAACAACATGCATTCCTACTAAATTTGGCAAATTGCAGGACTGGTCATGCGAGACCACAAGCACTTTCAAAGCACTTCTGTTTGTAAGAGAACATGATTTGGGTCTAGAACCAGTAAAACTTCCAACTCCCAAATCACGGCAACCATCCCTTTTCCACATCTCAGCCTTCTCTGTGCTCACCTTCATCCCATTATTCTGCTTTCATTGTGTAACGGTCACAAGGCATCCGTTCCAGTCTGCTGCTGTTACATCTAGATCCAATGAGAATGAATAACAGAGCCAAGGGTCTCTGGATGTTAAACCACTATAGATATAGGTGAACCCTGTAAGAAAGCAACATGGGACAGAAGCATGGTCTCCTAACAGGAATGACTGAGAGAGAAAAGAATGGAAATCCTACAGGATGAGCTTCTCTCGTTCCTCTCCTACCCCAGGTCTCAGCTTAACATGACAATCCATAATGGTTTGGTAGGAATGACTGTGCTAGATGTGAAAAGTGGGCCTAGGAGTTAAATCCAAAGCATCTGAAGGGCAAATTATTTCCTTCTAGTAATGTATGTGTATATTTCCTTTCTGCATTTGAGATAGAGAGAGGGGATGCAGATTTTTTTTCAGTTGGGGGTATGTGTCTCCTCCTGCATGTGAATTGTGGTTCTGGCTATGATTTTTTTTCCAGTGTATAGTAAAATAGGAAATGTGTTTGGAAACAAAAGCTTTAAAAAAGGAATAACAGTGGTAGGTAATGTTGGCAGTGGTAACATATTTTACAAGAATGTTGGACGAAAAGTAGAACACTGAATGGTAAGGTAGCTTGTGGCATTCAGCTGCCTGAGGCAAAAGAGGAGATGGTGCCCTCTTTCTCATTCCACGTACAGAGCTGAAGAGGAATGTTAAATTGTCCATTGCACACGAGGGGCAGCAGGATAGTTTAGGGGTTGAAAAGCCATGTAGCACACACCAACAGAAAA